CCCCCTGGCGCCGCCACTGGTTGTTTCAAAAGTATAGAATACACACACACTTCTGTATGGATTTCGTACATGTTCTACATGTCTTACAGTAAAAATACAAAAATTGTCCCACTTCCGCGGTTTGTTGTGATTTTAATACTGTAATTTGTTCTGTTTTTCTGTAGCGATTACCGATTTATCGGCAAATACCGCGATTTGAAAACTTACTTTTATTTATTTATTTCATTCTACAGCATTTATAGTTCTACAGCTATCTTATACAGTTTTATAATATTGTGAATGATTCCGAATATTCAAAACGAATTGAAAGAATGAAAGCAGTAATGATGTACTGTATAACGGTTTAAACTTAGCCGGCTGTACAGCTCACTGCCACCGGTCACTGAGCCGAAGGATAAACCGAAAATTCACTTTTCTCATCACAAGATTTAATGTTCAGTCGATCCGCTACATTGAAAGATGAGTATACTTGGCTATTTTTGGCAGGGGTAACGAAATATATCGGCTGTTCTCTACAGTAAGTGTTTCTTTATGTGTTGCCCATCGGAATATAATATAACTACATAAGCTTGATAGATATATAAGATAACGAGTTTCACAATCCCATTTTAAATACTATGGCTTTTGGCAGCCTGGTTTTGCATCATATGTGTTTTTCAGTAAAAGCCCCATTTTCCTACTTCCCCAACGTGTAATACGCGAAAAAACTTTGTTAATAATAACAAAAATTTGTAATAGTAAACAGTGTATTTTATTGTAAAGGATTTTCGTTTTTCTACTGCTCCGTACTTCGTGTGCTCCGTACTTCGTGTGCTCCGTGCTCCGTGTGCTCCGTACTCCGTGTGCTCCGTGCTCCGTGTGCTCCGTGCTCCGTGCTCCGTGTTTTACTAATAGCCTGAAATATCTCCTTTTTACATTAATTAATTAATTAATTAATTAATTAATTAATTAATTAAACATTTAATTTAGGGCCTCACGGCCGCACGCGACATTCATAGGCCCCAACCAGTGAAGGCCCCAACTTCGTACCCAGGCCGATAGGCCCTGGGATACACGGAACCGGAAGTGCAAGAAAACTTGCACTAGTTTCTAAAGCGCATGCTCTTGAATTGGGACGCTTCAGCACTCGTAACAATTTTCACAGACAAGTATTACGAAGAAAAGTATTTGTGTTGACGTATTTTGATAGAAAAATTTCAGTCCTGGCGAAATTTGCTCAACTTCTGCGAAATAGCAGTTATCTGAGAAGCCAATCAGATCTCTCCCTTTAGTCGTCTAACCCAGAGCCTAATTTTCAACGAGTGACCGAGTGAAAATGGCTCTGGGGATACTGGAACGAGAATGCTCCGACAAGGGATTCGCGCGTCTAGACCCAGGACTTTGGGAAATGGCCAATTGATTACAGTATTTTTGACCGATTGTAAGTGCCTAATCCGGAGCAGGCGGAGCAGCTATGCCGGCAGGAATCGAACTTACTTACGATTCCGGTGAGACGCCCATAATAATCCTAATATTTACCCATATAGCTACCTTAATTACCTTGGGAAAAGCTCGACAACTGGTCTCTGTAGCTCAGTTGGTTAGAGCGCGCTGCACAGGACTAGTGACGAGGGTAGAAGGGGGGAAGGGGCTCCACACAATATAATAGGCTTGTAATGTAATGTTAATGTAATGATTTATTTAAAGTCGTAAGCACAGGAGCTTCGTTCACTTGCGTGTCCCCCCCCCCCCGCCCCACTTCCAAACAGACTCCGCGATCCGGCTGGTTACCATAGCCACCCACCTCAAACTTGGTAAGAAACAACTTTGTTTTGAATTTACATGAAATACTGCCGAGTTCTAAGCTATAATTAAGTGACAGGTGGTGGTGAAGTATAAAGTGTAATGCTGTTTTAGGAGAATCATTAAATCATTTTGAAGGGCCTATTTCTTATCTGATCATTTAATTTTACCAGTGGCGGAACTAGCCATAGCAACAGGTCATGTTATGCAAATAATTTGCATCATTCAAACCTTTAGAAATGTAATGTCTTTAACCTATTTAGATGCAGGTTTATTAGCATAGCATGACCAGTTGCCATGGCTACAGTGCCGGATTAACCTTTCCAGCGCCGGGGAAGGCCGGGGACAAAAGTTGTTCAAGGGCCGGTCGCAAAATGCGAATTCGCCCGTGAAAATGTCCAATTTCTCCGGCTAGATCGGACATATAAAACTCATATTGCAGTTCCTCCGCTTAGAAAATGTTTCAGTTATATCTTATATTAAAAGTGCACATGTGGGTAAAGACATTCCAATATTACATCACTGTGGTACGTGAGGTTGCTTTCAGTTAACCAACGAGTTTAATTATTCGATGATCACATTATATAAACTTTTGAATGAAAACTATAAATTATTTTTTGTTCGTTTTTTTGAGCCGGTGGAACTCTAGGGCCGGGGGCAAATGCCCCTTTTGCCCCTTGGATCATCCGGCACTGCATGGCTAGCTTCGCCACTGATTGACGACTCATTCACAGTCCCTTCTTTCGCGCAATGATCCATGTAATGCTCAGTGGTTCGAACAGAACAACGGGATATTCGCTTATTTGAATATTGTACATGCTTGTAAATAAGTTTAATTGCTCTGAAGATGTTGTTAACAATACAACGAAACGTTAGCCAATAAATTTTTCATTTTTAAATTGCGCTTTCCACCCAAAAGGACGATTGCTTCCTCCAAACGTCACTTGCTCCCTGTTATCAGTCGAAACCGAAGGCTGATAATTCCAGACATGACAAAAACATATGTTACAAAGGGATTGTTCAAGAAAGATATATTACCAAATGATACAATATCACTTTATATGCTATACAAGGATTACGCGTTTAAATATACATAACATAATTCTACATATCTATAGGTACATGGCTTTTAAAGACACTTTAGTCTTTATGCATACTGTATATAAAATATTACTTACACAAGTTTGTTATGTAATTACACTTTAACATTTACATTTTAAGTTTTTAACCCAGGCTCACACTGTGAATATATAAAACCAATACAATAAAATAATACGTGGTTATCCTAGAAATACAATAAAAATAAAATGAAGCAAAATTTTCGATATTCTAAAATATGTAAATCAGAGGAAAAGCCGGTAAAGCCTGTGTGCAGGCTAAAGTAAATGATTTGTCAATAACATTTAAGGAAAAATTCCCCTACTTCGTAATGTTGAGGTAATCCTGAATTAATCAAGACATGTTTTACTACAGAAAACTGGAACATATCGAAAATCTCGCAATAATATACACAATATTTAAGAATAACCAAATAATTTCCCCATGTATGCTGTTCCAGATGCAATATAGGAGCCGTCTTGTGCTTGCTGTTCGTTGTCCTTGTTCATATCAACCTGGAATTCAGACGTGTCAATAACTTCGAAACTTTCAACACTTTCTGTGCTTTTCTTCCTTGAAGGTAAAACTACGGAAGCAGGTTGCTCATTGGTTCTTCTTCTCATCTCTGTTTCGTATTCAGGTCGTGATTGCGGAGGAATGTACTCTTCACTTGTCTGTAAATTATCATGTTGCGAGTGTATTGTTCCATCATGTTGCGAGTGTATTGTTACATCATGTTGCGAGTGTATTGTTACATCATTTTGCGAGTGGAAAGTTCCATCATTTTGCGAGTGTATCGTCGGATCATTTTCCCCAACTAGTGAGTCCATTGAACTGTGATGTGAACCCGGTGTGATACCACTGAAGTTTAAACCTTGAACAAAATCATCAGAATTGAAAGATTCCGCACTATCTCTTCTCATAGAAGGAAATTCAAGACCATCAATGAAAGTGAGTGAGCTGTTCACGCTGTCTAGAGGACCTGGAATCAAACAAGCGAATACTGATTAGCTCTATTTACCATAATAGACCTCATGCATAATGACGTCACAAGGCTTGATGCCCGCGAGGAATGCTGGTCTTAGTAGTCATCGCCTTGAATTGTTTAATTTTCCCGAGCGATGACTACTAAGACCAGCATTCCTCACGAGCATCAAGCCTTGTGACGTCATTATGCATAAGGTCTATTGTAAAAATAATGGCGCTGGCCAATAGACCCTCCCTTACAGAAACTACGTCACTTTGGCTATAGAGTCTCGTTTCCGTCATTGATTTAACTAATGTAACATTCACGGAAACGAGGCTCTATAACGCACCCTGGAAGGGTGTATTAACCAGGGGATTTTGGAAAGATCACGTAGAGAGATAGAAATCCACCATGAGATTATAAGGAGCTTGCAGTTACCACTAGGACAAATCATTTTTCGTTCCCAGGACACACAAGACGGACGACCTTGAGAACGAGGTGGATCATCTTCCACCATCTTAAGGCACGTTTATACTTGCAATTTTTGCTGAGATTTTCTTCTTCTGATGGATGGGAACGAGTGGATTTTCTTCTTCTGATGGATGGGAACGAGTGGATTTTCTTCTTCTGATGGATGGGAACGAGTGGATTTTCTTCTTCTGATGGATGGGAACGAGTGGATTTTCTTCTTCTGATGGATGGGAACGAGTGGATTTTCTTCTTCTGATGGATGGGAACGAGTGGTGACGTATACTCAGAACATTTACTCGTTCACATTAGAAGACGAAAATCGCACTAGAACTCACAGCAAGTGACTCAATCTTACAGTATTATTGTCGATTTCAGGTCACTTTTCAAAGCGCGGCTCTGTGAATATTCCCAATTAGGTTCCTAAATTCGGGATATTGGGCGTGGAGCTTGCAAAGCCAATTTGGCAAGTTGCTTATTAAAATACCGAAATACTGAACTAAATACCGAAGTACTGAACATAAGCTCGTCATTTAAAGTGTTTCACTAGCCAAGGAATTAAACGTATTTCTTAAAAGGTTTAATAAATAATTGTCAAATATATTGCTTTAGTAAGCAACTTGCGCAGTTGGCTTTGCCAGTTCCAAGTCCAATATTCCAAATTTAGAAGTTACATGATTGGGAATATTCACAACAAACTTAGGAATTGCGCTTTGAAACGTGACCTGGAATCGACAGTCACAGTATATGAACTGAGGTGTACTTACAATGCCAGCCTAGGGTTGCCTTTGTCCTAATTTTGCTCACGCTGATTGGCTGAATTAAATTTATATTCGCTGCGTGAATAATAATATACAAGATAAACGGAGGATTTTAACAGTTTTTACAACCCAGTTGTAAACGTCTACGGCTTTATGCCCTCAACTGAAAAGACGTGGAAATGTAAAATCAATTGTATTTTTTTCCAGATACGACAGACTGAGCGCCTCTCGCTTATTTTAATATGGAGAGATTTCAATCCACAACATCCCACTTTATTGTGAATAATCCTAATACTTCCAAATATATACTGCCCAAAACATTAAATACAGTATTTAGAATTACAGTACCAGTAGGCTGTTCCCGTTTAGCTCTTTGTTCTGGTGAGATAGCAGGACTAAAGATTGCCTCGGTTTCAGTTGCATTCAAAGTGAACTCTTCATCGTCGCTGATATCAGAGACTTTATGATGATCTACATTCAAAATCAAGGAGGAAATAACTTATTTTTAACTGATGTGTATAGTCTGATAACATAAATTATATCACACATAAATCATGATGTGATTTAGAAAATTAACTTCAGGTGAACCACATGCACCAGACTCGCGGACTACTGGAAAGCTGCGGATTAGCCATTTCCCAAAGTCCTGGCTCTAGTCGCGCAAGGAGGGACAAGAAATATGGCAGCATACATTTAATTTAATAGTTTACTGTAAAAAGGAGATATTTCATTTTTGGTCGTCTAAAATGTTGATATTTGATAGTAGATACTTCTACTCTTTCACATATTTGACGCCTGTCACCATATATTTTGTCCCTCCAAACGATCCCAGAATGCATTGTGATCTCTTTTGGGAAAAGGCTAATTATGGTGAAGTATTATTATGTTTTACAGTACTTGTATTTTTCAGGTACTTGAATCCCTTTCAATCCGCAGTTTTCTGGTGTTATTGCCACTACTTGCGCTGCCACAGATCGTTCGAGTTTAAATGTCGGACGACTGTGACATTATATAAAATTGATTCTACTTAGTTTTCATTTTCAAAGTTCCAACGAACCTTGGAGGACAATCTCTCTCTTCCGTTTTGTTCTGCTACTTTGCCACTGTGTGAAAAATGGTTTGAACAATTTTTGTACTTTTCTAACCACTTTATCTTTGATGCCATAGAATACAATGGCAGGCCACAAGAACAGGAACATTACTTTTAATAAAAACATATTATTCATGTTAACTTTACATGTCTTTAAAATTTGTGTATAGCTGTATTAGTTCTCAATTAAATAGTTCCCATAAGGTACAGGCAGTAAGGGCATTCCCTGGTTCAAAGGTAATCAATATATCAGAATACACAAAGAAAACCTGGTATGTTTGATAGAACTGGTAATGCTCTTCTGACATATGTGAATGAAAAATTTTAATCAGACACGAAGCTCTTGCATTGGTGAGTAAAATAGTTTGGTATTAGACAGTCTGAGTAAACTAATAAGTGCATGTAAGGCACATAATTAGGGCACAATGCAACTTAATGGGTTAATTTCAGGGCATGAATATTTACTCCTTTAAAAAATTGTTTAATATTGGGTCATCCAAAAACCGATAAGAAATATATGTTATCATTTACAGTACCTACCAGTCAAATACAGAATGTTTCCAATCGGAAATCGGGCATAAACCACAGCAATTATGACAACAAGCAATGAAACCATCAGATAAAACTAGATGAAAAACATACCAGACCTGTAATCAAACTATATCTCTAGACACTTTGCAAAATAGTGGGGGTGAAAATTTAGGTTGTGAACATATTTTGACTTTCATCTTGCTGCAAATCTTGTCTGATTCTTTTGGCTTAGATTTCATCCAAATTTGGCCTTAGTTTTACAGTCTGTTGTAATATCACTTTGCTACCAGTTATTGATATAGACTGAGGTGGTTAATTAATAACAAGAAAAAAAACGATGATGTTTTTTGAAAACCAATTCAACCGATGTTGTTCTGAAAGAGAATGGCAGCAATTCCACATATCTGTGGTTATATATAGTTCAATCACGGCACTAGTTCAATATTTTTTGACAAAACTTCCAACTGGCAAACACTAAAAATGTGAGAAAATACCACTTACATACAGTATTAGGGTCACTATCCAGACATATGAATGGGTTGGGGCCCTGGGCTTTTAATTGACTAATTATGGGAAAATTATAATAAATTAATAGTCTCATGAACATACGATTGGGGAACAATAATTTTAATAAACGTCACCATGAGCACAGTACTTTATGGGTATTTTCTTGTTTTAAATTTTTCAGCTTTATCCAATACTTTGTGACAAAACTCCAAATCACAGCCACACCATGACAGAAATCTTCATAAGAGGTGATTTTCTTTTCAGGACTTGAAAGAAATATATACTTAAATATTAACACACTAAATGTTAGTTGCAATGATTATTTCACATTATGTTATGCCTGAGTGCTTACAATAATTTGATATCCATGTCATAATGTTGTGATTTTAATTAATTAATTAAGTAGTGATTGACTGATTGTGCAACAATCTGAAATTACCGATTATTCATGCCACAAATCTGCCAGATACTGATGAACATGTATCAACGTGCAGTGCATACTGTATAATTTTTACAGTGCACAGTTTCTTAACAATCAGTTTTAGACAATCGGAAATATAGATTATTATAACAAGTCCAATTGTCTACCGATAAGGCAAAAATCGACCCGATGCCGATTATCAGCCAATCACTAGATTTAAGGCCTGGAATGGTAGGGCTTTATACACCATGTACATGAATTGCCAAACGTTGGGCAAATTCACTCAATTGTGGGTCTGTTCCACGCAATGTGTGTGCAGGGAAGCAACGGAAAATTTGTGGTTATGACTTTAATATGATATGGCTTTCAAATTATTTCATATTTCAATGAACTTTTGGCAATGAGCTTTTTGCTCCGATCTGATTCGCGGCTTTGAAAATTCTGCAAGCGCATTGCTATCGCTTTTGAGACAAAAATCCGCTGACCCCAAGTATTTTGGGCGAAAATACCCCGCTGCCATGCGGTTTTACTTTCTACAAAAGTCAAAACATTGTTTAACATATTTGATAAGTCAAGGAGAATTAAGCTCAAAAAGGAATGAAACAAATTTTGAAATTACACTGAAATACTTTCGCCTGATCCTACTTTTAAATATGAGATTTCCTTAAAATTTCCTTGCCAGAGCTGGAATTTTGACTGCCGGAGCCAGACCTGGAGCTAAAATAACCGGAGTTTGCACAGCTCTAACTGAAACTACTTTCTTGTCAATTTTGTTGTAGTATATGATAGGTCATTATAATTAAACTTTATTGAAACATTAAAATTGAAGCATCTTTTGAATTATGTCTGCAGTCAACCCAATGCAGTATTATAATCTGAGTTTTTGCATAGCATATTTTACACTGAAACTAAAGGAGTCTAAAGGAGGGCATGCCATGGTATAAATATTAACTCAAATGGTCTGTGCCAGCATAGGTTGTGGCAAAAACACCAGAAAACGGCGGATTGATAGGGATTCAACTACCTGAAAAATACAAGTAAAACTTCAACATTTCGAGCAAAGGCCTTTCATTGGGACAAAGGCCCTTCCCGATGAGGAACCTTCACTCGAAATGTCAAAGTTTTACTTGTACCTTTCAGGTGGTTGAATCCCTATCCACCACAGTTTTCTGGAATAAATATCAACAATTGTACATACTGTATATGTAGTAATGTAGGACCCATCATTATCAACCATATGGAATTGATGCTTGTGATTCACTCTGAGTTTATATCCACACCTGGCAGGATTGAAAAACATTCCTGGCCATGGTGGGAATCACACTTTTCAAGCCTGCTAGGTGTGGATATACACCCAGGGTAACATCACAAGATTACATCGATATCGAAGGAACTAGACTGAGTTCCGAAATATCACATACTCGAACCGACCTGACCACGTAGCTCAGTTGGCAGAGCAATAGAGCATTGGGCTAGTATTCCAAAGGTCGTGGATTCGATTCCCACCGTGGCCAGGCATGTTTTTCAAGCCTGCCAAGTGTGGAATGATATACACTCAGAGTAACATCACAAGCATCATATTCACCTGGGTACATTACACCAACACAGAAAAAATTCATATGAAATTATTTTGTCAATATTTGAAAACATGTTCACGTGTTAACACCTGCATATACAGTGTTTATCGGGACCGGGGGAATCAGCTCCTGAGGTACACCATATTTCCACCCCAACTAGAGAATATTAATTTGGTTGCATGTAGCCAGTCTAAGTACCTCTTGACTTGCTCTCCTTCAGACAGTAGTTCAGTTGAATCATCACTGTCAACATTCTCAGCACGCCCTGCAATAAAGTACTTAACACTTTAAGCAAAGAAATCAATACATATCATTCTAAAACTTTTATGTTAACAGTTACACTGCTATCATAACAGAGAGGATCACCTGTTGACAGAGACTGGATGCTTAACAATATTGTATGTCTAATGGGCGGCGTCAACCATAACAACGACAGTAAAATGGCCAGAATAACAAACAGTTTTAATCGAGGAGTCAGAAAAATCCTAAAACATACAATAATATGATGTAAGAAGAAATCAACATAACCTATTTCCAACTAAACTAGAATTTTAGCCCTAACAGTTTCCAAAGATGTAAAATAGACAACATGAAAATATGCCTACCAAAACAAAACATTGAGAATGTTGAACACCATGACAGATAATTCAAGATTTCTCCATATTAAAATGTCCTGAATAAAAGGCCAATGGTCTCGTAATGGAGAGAACAGATCACAAACATGCTCAAAAATTTCACTTGTTTGTTTCGTATCGCTATTTCTTTCATTTGATGCAATATCGGCCTCGGAAGTTTTATTTTCCTCCATCTTTGCCAGCAAAAATTATCAATGTCGCAAAATATATACATGACGTCACTACGTGCTAACACGTGATTTCGTGATGCATATTAAAAACTAGAAGTTACTATCGCAAGGAAAATGCTGCCTCAACCCGTCTTCCATCACACAAGCACGTAAGGCACCCCTAAGACACCCCTAAGACACCAGAAGGTAGGAAAAGTGCAGTTTGAATACGAAAACAGCTTGCACAAAGTCGAAGGTCGGCTAGATATTCTAATCATAAAGATTATAAATAACACTAGAAGAGGCATTGAGGTTAAAAATTTGGGAACACGTCTAGGGGGGGGGGGGCAAATGTAGGTCCCGGATATAAAATCATGCTCTCACCAATGGGAACACAAGTACACATGCAGGAATTTGCCCCCAATAGCAGGATTCCTTTTTTGCCTAATGTCAAGATTGCGATGCCTCCTCTAGTGTTATTTATAATCTCTATGATTCTATTAAATCCTATTGACTTCCACAAATTCCTTACTCTTCAAGAAATTACTTCCTTGAAAATTCCTTCGTTCTAAAAAGAGGAAGGACTTTGTGAAAGTCTACAGATCATGCTATGCACATTTTTAATGATTTGCATTATTCAGATAGATGCAGGTTTATTGGCAATTTTAGCTTGACCAGTTGTCATGGCTAGCTTGCCACTGAATACTGTACAATAACATGTATAACAAACAATAATAATACTTGAATGAATCATTGGATATGTAGAATTTAATTAAAATTTCATACATAAAAATACTACCAGTAAGGGCCTGTTCATATGGGCAAAAGTTATCTGTGTTAGCGAGAAAACTTTTCAAGAAGTTTCAAGCGAGATCTCACCTTGGTATGAAAATAATATGAAAAGTTACATTGCGTTCATATGAGACAACAACTTTTTCCGTGTACCGAGACCTCGGTGTTTTTCCCATATGAACACAACTTTCCCGCTTAGCGGGATAACTTTCTGTTGTGTCAGCAACTTTTCAATTCAATTCATGTTCAGCGCTACGTCACAGCCGGAAACTTTACCCGGTAAGCGAGGTAAAGTTTCTCCATGTGAACAGAACAAAAGTATTTGGCTAGTCGAAAAGTTTTCTCCTTAGGCCCTGTTCACATGAACCCGGGACAGCGTTATGTCTCGGGGCAAGCAATTGTCGCGGGACAAAAATTGTCTTGGCTCCTCAGTAAAAGAATAGTGCTGTTCACATGATATTTTACTTGTCCTGGGACAAGAATTGACCCGAGTGCCTCACTTCTATAGACAGGGACACTCGCCTTGCTGGGACAACTTTTCCTCATGTGAACACTGTCCCGGAATAATTGAATTTTGGTGAAACGATCAAAATCGTGGCTAAAATTACATTTAGAGCACGTTGGACTCCACAAAAACTTGTTATTTGATTGACGATATCATTAGAAATCTATAAGTGATGATTCTAAAAATATTGAAATAAAATTGTCGCTAATATCATGTAGTATGTTACTCAAAGAATTTGATCTGGTCAACCAGAAACAATGAATTGAGCACATTTTATTACGGCTGATAATCAACTAGTACGTTCTATTTGTAAATATCATAACAAGAAATAACGACAACTTGCATTTATCAGAATGTTTTTTATTTAGCAATATTTCACCATTTCCCGTTGGCAGGAATATTTTATGATTACCGCGTAATGTATTTATAGGCATGACCCGGCGCGCTAGCTTTATTCATGTGAACAGAAGATATCAGTACCCTGGGTCAATGACTTGTCGCGGGGCAGTTGTTTATCCCGGGATCATGTGAACAGGGCCTTAAACCGAGATAACTTTTGCCCATATGAACAGGCCCTTTGAAGTCAGTTTTGTCCCAACTACTGTATCATTTTAGTGGCACCTTCAAGGCTACCCCTACTGTAGAACAACTGAACAATGAATCTGCCAATCGGGAGACAAAATCTATTTTGTTGACATTTTTGTTTAATACATCAGCTTCAGATGACCATTATTTGTAATGACTATATATATAAATAAGAAAGAAATTGTGAGCATTATTATATACAATTGTGTGTTCCAATGTGGGCATCATACTGCTCGATTTAATAGTAGTCATCGCCCAGGAAAATGAAACAATTGCAAATGGCCACTATCGAAATTGTCCCAGGTCATGACTATTAAGACCAGTATTTCTCGCAGGCATCAAGCCTTGAGACTTCATTATGCATAAGTTATTTGATATACAGTAAAGCCCCACCAGTAGGTTAAGAACCACTAGTCTGAAATTTTGGCAATTAAGCACCCAAAATACAAGTTTTTAAAAACTTTTTAAGTTTGGATATATGTCACAACAACCATATTAGTGTCATAGCAATAGTTTTATGCAACAACAGTTCCTATTTAATATGTAGAATATAAAAAAGTATTGTGTGAAGCAAGTCAAAATTCACTGAACTTTTATGCGGGGCTTTACTGTATATCATAATCATTTTACTGTAATATATATTAACTATTTTTATTGGCAATTTTCTTATTGACACACAACCTATATATTTGTAACTTTTTATACACAATACCTTGATCTTTTGACATCACGAAACAACTTTATTATTGCCAACGATTGCCCAGCTAGCGAGATCACACTTCGCTAGTATAAAATATAAAAATATTGCGTTCGACGAAGGAGAACGCTTCCTAATCGTGACGTCACGGCTGGATGCTGTGTCCTTTTGAGATTTTTTGGATGTAACATTTGCCTCGCTTTCGTGTTCATGGCATTTGCCTCGGTTTCCGGTTTCGTGCGGCGTCTTTGTGTTTCCATGTGCTTTCCATATTTTGCGAAGACAGAAGGAGATTTTAGCTGTTGTTTTGGGGTTTTTCCTGCGGTTTAATGTAAGGTAATCGGTGGTGTTGTGTTATTTTTATTACACTTATCAAAGGTACTTATCAAAGCATCAAGAATTTGTCTTGTGGTGTTTTATCGACTGGCAATCCGACATTTCAATTTGCTATCTTTTTAAATTGTCAGCTAGAGTTCACAGATTTAACTTGAGTTCGCTCTGCTTAATAAAGGGTTTGGATGCATGTCCAGTATATTCTCTTTGGTCATTGAATGTTGATGAAGTAAACGTTGTTAAGCATTTTAATTTGCAGAGTTGTGTTGAAAAATACGAGTTTTAATTAAGCATGACAAATAAATACACAAATCCCAGTTTGGCTATAGTATACTAGGTGGACATACAAATATACAAATCCCAGTAATTTTGTTGACACAATGAACCTAATCAGTAATCATAATATTCATAGACAAGCAGAGCGAAGTTTTACTGACGAATTCAGCTGTATTTTTCATGAACATTTCTTGCCATGTTTGACCCGTGCTACCAATGAAATTTCTGATGCTTTTATAAATTAGTCGGTTGGAACCTTTGTGTTTATATGGAAGCTGGGCTGGCCCGCTTAGTGAGACAGCCTGGTAAGCGGGATGAATTTCTATTTCTCTTGTGTTAACAATTTTATTGTTTTGACAGTTGTTAAAAATAACTTGTGGCGGTATCTTTGAATTTTCATCCCTGGAACCGGGCTAGCCTGCTTGTGAGTATTATATGGAGAAATTTCCATCCCGGTATGCGAGATCTCACCTCTTTCAAGTGAGATATCGGCAACCGGGCCATCCCGCTTGTATTCAGCAAATAATAACAGCAACTTGCCTTGGAATGTTTTGTTCGCTTATAGTGAATATAGTGCCATATAACTGTGAAAGTTCACCTGGTGACTGCTTTTTTGCATCCTCAGGACATGGTCTTTATAAAAATCCTAATTTGCCATCTTGATATTTGTAGTGCAGGCATTACACATTTAATGCATAATCCTGAGTTATAAATAGAGGATATTACACGGCGGCATGATGATATGACTTTTATCTTTGAGTGGTGAAAACAATATTTTATGAACGAGTTACGAACGAGTGCAGCGAGTGAGTAAAATATTGTTTTTAACACGAGAAGATAAAAGTCGTATCTTCAAGCCACCGTGTAATGTTCTGTTTATTATATAGTCCCAAGCAAAAAAATGTATAAATACTAAGTCATGTGATCGATATCTTCACTAGTGAAGATATGGGTATCTTCACTAGTGAAGATGGGGAAATATCTCACTGTGTATTTTTTGTATCTTACTCTCTACTATACTGTATAATAAATTGAAAATATTTTATGGGAAAATTATGTTGAAGAAATGTCACAACCTGGAACATGGTATCATTATCAAGCAGGAGCAAATGCTTTAAGCTGCACTATTCATATTACTGATTCCAGTCCAAATGCTAATGCAACCATTTTAAACCCTTTACACCAGGGGCACAAAATTCTATTTAGTTGAGTTGCAAGGCCTATAAACTCAAACTGAAGAAATGCTCATACCTCGAGCTCGCCTATAATTAGGGTTTATATCATAAACCAGGCAGGCAAATGGGGGTATTCAGTTCATTGCATTAATTTGCCTTGAGCAACATGTTGAAGAGCTTACATCAGTTTTGCTAAGTCATCCCAGGGTCTATTATTATAGTTAAGATAAAGGGTAAAGATAACACATTTAAGGATGTTAAGGTCAGAAGTAAGAAAAAGTGCAACTTGCATTAATGCTATAATGCTATGGCTTTTGAGAAATAATCTACATTATAGTAATGTGACTATCAATCAACATTGCCTTAGAATCACTCCCTATTGGTAGTGTTCCATCTGATATGACTGTTGAGTATGAAAATGATATTTGGACACATGAAATAATATCGCCTGATTTACAGTAGGCCCTTCCAGTGATAACATTGAAGACAAAGTTAATGTACAATGTGACAACAGAAATAAATAGCTTATGCCAGCCTGTGAAAAACAGTAAAGAGAAGTAGATGCAATAAAAAATCAGTTGTTTCCAAATGATGGCATCCGGCCCACTTTTGATAACTACCCTATGATGCAATAATAACATTTTGGACAACGTCTACCTGGTCTACTCTACCTGTGACCGAACGCACTTCACTAATCTAAGATTATTACTAGTTTATCAAATTTAGCCGTAGGGAACATTTAAAAATAAATTAAAATTTAATTTAACATTTACATCACTTTTTCCAAAACTTAGCTCAAGAACATTACAAAATATCATCCAGAAAAAAACAATCACCAATATAATCATATGGATAAGAAATTTATATATTTTGGCGATAAAATTAACCTCACATAGCCTATCTGAATTCATCAAATTGATATTGTCAATTGACAAAATTTTCATTATCCACCACAGTAGAAGCCCGCTTACCCCGCCATTTCAAACTTAAGTTAGTTGGCTAAGTTTCATGAGTCAAGCCTCAAAGGAAAAAATAATTAGTTCGAAAAAGCAACGAGTTCGAGTTATATGAGTTCAAAATAATGGAGTAAAAGAAGTCCGAACTCAGAAGTCGGAAGTCAGAAGTCGGAAGTCGGAAGTCAGAAGTCAGAAGTCAGAAGTCGGAAGTCAGAAGTCGGAAGTCGGAAGTCAGAAGTCAGAAATCAGAAGTCGGAAGTCAGAAGTCGGAAGTCAGAAGTCAGAAGTCGGAAGTCGGAACTCAGAAGTCAGAAGTCGGAAGTCGGAAGTCAGAAGTCAGAAGTCAGAAGTCGGAAGTCAGAAGTCAGAAGTCAGAAGTCGGAAGTCGGAACTCAGAAGTCAGAAGTCGGAAGTCGGAAGTCAGAAGTCAGAAGTCAGAAGTCGGAAGTCAGAAGTCAGAAGTCAGAAGTCGGAAGTCGGAAGTCGGAACTCAGAAGTCAGAAGTCGGAAGTCGGAAGTCAGAACTCAGAAGTCGGAACTCAGAAGTCGGAACTCGGAAGTCAGAAGTCGGAAGTCAGAAGTGGGGCTCCTCGGCCATGTGGCCCTCCTCGGCCATCGTATAGAAGTCAGCCTGTCGGAATTCGGGACTTTTGGAAAGTTCTTGAGCTAAATTTTAGAAATAAGTTATGTAAATGTTAAATTTTAGTTTTAATTATCCAATTTAATTGTTCCCTACAGCTAAATTTAAACCGTTGAGACAGTGAAATCGCAATGGTGTAGAGAATATCTCGTTGAACGTAGTATTTTTTATACTAAATTATCAAAACTAACGATATCAAAAATAAGTATTGCTAACAAAGAATGAAAATACTGTTGTAAACACGGCAACATAAAATTGAAAAATGAAATAAAATAATGAATTCGGAAATTCTGGATCAGAAAATTATGGTATATTTAGACGTTATAAGCAAAATTAATGCAGAATCGAAGCAATCGGTTGGGATCTGCCGTGTTTAGCTGGAAAGGCATAAGAAGTCAGAAGTCGGAACTCAGAAGTCAGAAGTCGGAAGTCAGAAGTCAGAAGTCGGAACTCGGAAGTCAGAAGTCGGAAGTCGGAAGTCAGAAGTCAGAAGTCGGAACTCAGAAGTCAGAAGTCGGAAGTCGGAAGTCAGAAGTCGGAACTCAGAAGTCAGAAGTCGGAAGTCGGAAGTCAGAAGTGGCCCTCCTCGGCCATCGTAGTATTCAAAATTACGGACCGTAACGATACGATAATGAGATGCCTATACTGGGCATATATGACGAAAAAAAGTCAAATTTGAGTAAAATTTATATTTGGCTAAAAAGTCAAATTTGAGTAAGTTTGGATTTCTTGGAAATACGAGCAGACGTACGTATACAGACTTGCAGCTAGCGACAGGAAGTGCGGCGCCACTCATTGGTCAATAAATATAGCTCTTATGATATATTGCGTCATTATAAATTAATGTTGAAAACCGCTGCCTCAGCTTTCAATTGCTTTGAGCCCGCTGTTTGAGCAAGCAAGTCTCATTAGTATTTTCAGTATTTTTAAAACTATATATAACAAACGACAACAGAGAAGCGTTATATGTATGTTTACGAAAGATGGAATTCGAATTGCAGCATTTGCAGACATGCCAATTAATAAGCATATATTATAAAAATTAAAATAGTACATTGTCTAAAAATAGCAATACGGTATAATATTAAATTAACTGTGTATTGACTATTGTATATAATTATGTGTATTTCTGATCACTTGGTGAAAATATATAGAGAATAATACATGGGAGCGCGGAAAAACCAGATTTATTTCGAGTGATCTGGTATTTCCAAGTACTCATGTTTTTTCTGTTTATTATATAAACAAAATTCAGTGAAAAACAATAAAACGTCCGTGGCAATGCGTTTTACAACAAATGATATTTTCACTCGTAAAAATATCGTATTTTCTACGTGTGTTTAAATGTGTGTTCTCAGTGGCCAAAAACTCTATATAACACTTATGTTTATATAATAAAAATATTTAACAATGGGTTGATATGTATAGGAAGTCATATGAGGGGCGATGCGATATCACTGTTTTATCGCTAGACTTTCCAAAGTCCTTTCCCAACCCCTCTATGGCGCTTCACTTCCTCTGTGGAGAGGACTTTTGTCACTTGCAGCGCGCCAAATATCACCGGAAAAATCCACCGGTGACGTCATTGTTTACATTAAAGGTCGAATCGGTTTAAGTTTATTGATCATTATCGAAGGAGTCTACAAATAACATTATATTGTCAGGCTTTTTTGTTGAACAAACATTTATTATTGAAGCAAACAAAGTAAACAATGTAAATACAATTTTGTAGAACACAAAAACCATGTGAAAATACACAAACGGCAAAGATTACATTAACTATGAGTACATGCAGCCTACAGGGTGTAGAAACAAACTTTAATACTGTCACCGAAAATGCATGCATCTGATGATTCTAAATTTTTTTCACTAGTTTCGGGTTTAGTTTGGGTTTCTTGATCTCGATTACTGATTATTACAAATTCGTTTGTTGAGAAAACAGGATTTACTGGATTTTGAACTCTAAGCAATTGTATGAAATGTACACACCCTTTTTAATATGTCAAAATTATTCGCGCCAAAATTTTTAATGCGATTTAAATTCCTGCAAGCGACACAAGTCGATCACTCGCGACTTCGTCGCTCGGGTCGCGCGCTCCCTCCCTCGCGCCCTCCCTCCCCCATGGTCGACTTGTGGCAAGTCTATTTTATCGCTTGAGGAACGATATGGAGAAAAAAATAGGTATGCGACGCGTACATGTATCTGCGAAAAAACTTGATTCACATTTTGTCTTTGGTTGAAAGAAACTGAATAATGAAGATGACATGGGACAATTGAAATATTTCATCACTTATTATAATGGCAGATAAGATTTAAAACAGGGCTGTACACAGCGGGGAGTGCAGCAGGGCAAATGCTACCCCCACCCCCGCACCGAGAAAATTTAACTAACTTTATAATGTGATTATGATTGTAACAGATAATTATGCAGTCAGGAAATAAAAATTTCATGCAAACAATATTCAAAGTGTCTAGACAGCCGGCTATTTAGTAAACTGTCACCTGTCAATTCAATCCATACTCATCAAATTTTCAAAACGTTATTGTAATCATATGAAGCAAAAGTTATGTCACTTGTTGTTTACACTTGCCAATGTTAACTGTTGAGTAACATACAGAAAATATTTGGTGAACATGCCGAAGATCACTGAATAATTGAGAATGTTTTGAAGGTCATGAGTGAAGTATATAATTAAATTCCAGTTCTGTGAACAGTTAATGATATACCACACTGTTCGGTTTAACACGTACAGCACATTCACACAAAAACAATCGTGTTGTGGCAGGGGCGGATCTAGGGGTAGTCCAACCTCGTTCCCAGGGCTTCAGTGTGAGGACGAGGCGAGACACGAGGAAGCCCTGGTCCGGGCCGGTCACGTGACGTCAAAAAATGGCAGTATTTAACAGCTACTCGTCAAGGAGTGGCGAGATATTCTTTAATGAAATATTCAAGTCTTCGAAACAAATAAATAGCCAAAAGACTTCTCAATCGATATTATTTATGTGTAGAGCGAAGTTTGGGACGAATCAGCTAAAATCTATGAAGATCCCGTCTATGTTTTCGAAGATATACCAATATTTCTGGAGATTTTCAACTACAGGCAAACTGCATCCAAGTACAGAATATTGTATACGGATTCGCTTGTTTCGCCGGACACCAACACTTGCCGTTCAGGAGCAATGCTTGCCTACAAATTGTATCCCCTTCACAATCTTTGTTTTATTTTATCGTATAGTCGCAATTTTCAAGTATTCGGGGTATTCTGGAACTGTGAAAATCGGTGGCGTGACGAATCTTGTAGGGACTACATCGGCCAAGGCGTAGAGCTATTAAGTAAACAGGGCCTAAATTAATTTAGTTGTTTCATTTAATTGTTTGTCTTGCTTTTATTTGTCAGTACAGAATCTTGTAAATTAAAATATTACTACAATGCAATACGCGTAGAATTTCATCAGACATCTGCACTACATTATAAATACTGTACAGGGAAAACTACGGCTCAAATAATAGTAGACGTTTCTTGTTTTGTCAGGCTCGCGTCTCAGCTCACGTCGACACGGCTTTTGCGTTTTGTAACCGGCCGAGGCGAAATCATGCAGTCGGGAAAACGTCTCATTTTGAAAGATTATTTTGCAAAACATACTCGTACACATAAGAATCATAAAAATACAAATGTTGAATTGTTATTGTCAACTGTTAAGTTCAGTTATTTTTAGACAATATGGTGTTAGCCAATCAGAATGCAAAATTGACTGGCCCGGACCAGGGCTTCCTCGTGTCTCGCCTCGTCCTCACACTGAAGCCCTGGGAACGAGGTTGGGGGTAGTCAGATTAGCCACGCGACTAACGTAAAAAAAGGCATATAAAAAAATTTGGACTAAGGTTTTTGATTTTTTTCCCAGCGCAAACACTTCTCTTCATTTCTGATCACGCAATCAAAACTCTATCACACTCCAGCATATAAACTTCGATCAGTTTTTGCACATTGAGCCAGCGATTGATTAGTCAAACGATAAGTCAAATAAGCGGTATTCAAATGAAAATTGACTATCTTGCGTTTTAGTTCATGTGATTTGATTGGTCAAATTTGTTCAGATTACACATTACAGGCATGTTGATTTGTCAGACATATTTTGACAACGATTGCGAAATTTTGACTATTTTGACTAATTCTGCAAATAGATAGCAGCTTCTGATTGGACAATTTGCGCAAAAGAGTTAAAGAACATCTCCTCTAATTGGCCTTCTAATCTTAATTTGGAAGCATTGTGCACTTGGTAGCTTTGTTGCAGTTCTGTACAATTTTACAAGCAAATTATTTCGTTTGTATAATTTTATTTACTATTATCGAAATGAACGACGTAGATTTCGAAAAGGTTAGATCGTTATTTGAAAGTGACGATAAGGAATGCTTAATACTGGTGTTCTGTGGAGAATATTTCAAGCAGATAAATTCGATGGATGCAAGAAAATTGTCTTGGCCGAAACTATCTAGCTGAGAAGTGTTGATTTCTCGAATTCTCGTCGTCTATTTCAGGAGATTATAAAGAGGTGTATGGCAATAAGGTAAAGTGGTTTGAATTTTGAACAATAAATCGTTGAATTGAACGTACGATTTGCATAATTATGCGAGGTTAGGTCCAAAGTTTTATATACTGCATACATATTCATTATGTGTATAAAATTAAAACACCTCAAGTGGCATAAATTTGATCTCAAATATTTGATCATGTTGGATAAAAAATATTTATTGCGTACATGCTTTATAGAGTATTGATTGCCTCATAATAGCTCTACAAATGTACTTTATAAAGATAATAATAATATAATCTTTGGTTATATTTTTAGATCTGATGCAACTGGCAATTGCTTGTATAGCTCTGTTTCCTAAGCATTGACAGGTACCAATGACCTAATTTGACCTTGATAGTTTAAATGTTTACAGTGCAAGTGTGAAAGGTCTATTTCGGCACTTATAGGACACTAAAAGGCTATAAGCGAAGCACTGTGGTTGAAGACCACTTAAATTAAATGACTTGGCTTGGTCATGATGCAAATGCACCAGGAAATTATTCCTAACATATGTACTGTAGGAAACGTTATTGATAAATTTTCTGGAACATGTGGTTAAAGTTAAATATCTCGGCTTGCAAAAAGACCACTCTCGCCTCCAATAGCAATTAATAACCTCACTCTTGTACACAACACTGACAGAAAAAACTTCCTGGGGGTTGGTTCTTCATCATCAACCAAACTTAGCCTTTCAAGATCACCACCTTCCCATAATCCCCCCCCCCCCCCCCCAAACATTCGGGCTTTGTAGACAAAAGCTGATGCCAAATATCGGGTCTGATCTCATTGGCTTGAGACAGGTCCATTGCATCTTGAACCAGTTAAATTTTTCAACAGACCAGGGCTTGAAATAACAACTGATCACCAATCAATAATAGGCAGGAAATTGCTTATGATCGGCGGAAAAGCAGGGTTTCCAACCTGAAAAAGCAGGGAAAGTCATGACTGCCGATCACCATGATCAGGAACTTTGGGAACATTATTTCAGGCCCTGACAGACAAACTCCATGTTGATAGTATGTGACTGCCTATATAATACAATATGTAAGCATAGTATAGGAATAATAGAATACTGTGTTAAAAACCTTGCCAATTTAATATTTCAGATAACTAGATAAGTAAAGTAATAGTCATTTGTAATGAAGTATTTTGTATTTGAATCGACTGTGATTAAAATATGTTTAAAATTCCAGGTAAAATAAACTTTTTTTCAATAAAAGTTGGCTTCCACTGAAGCTGCAGCTTTGAGGCACCATTTCACTTGCGATATTATACATTTTCATAGTGGACAGTATATAACAAGATGATGAATTTAATTAGATTAGACATAGGTTAGTAATAGGAGGACTGGGGAAGGGGCTAAAGGGTAAAACAAGGCAATTTCAGATCCATGAAATGTCCTGTATTGTCACCCATTTTTAACCAAGCTCCTTTTGCTGCGGTGTGAGGTGGAGTAATGGCACCTTAAAACCAGATTGCTCATTTTAGGTGGTGTTCATTGTTCATTTTATTGTCACCCATTTCTAAGTTCTAGCCAAACTCCTTTTGCTCTTGCAAAAGGTGTGAAGGGAAGCAATCTGGTTTTAAGGAGCCAGAAACCTGTGCTTGTGTTCAGCTTTTTCAAGGAGCTGTCCTTGTTGGATCACGGTTTACTATTTTTGGTAAACGTGTTTCCTTGGCATGCTGATGAGCCAAGGTTTACACTGTAGGGCGAAACAGTCTATATATATAATTAATATATCATATGCTGAACATTGGCAGGTACGAAAATTATATCATTTACGCATTTGTAGTTTGATAAAACAAAATATCTATACTTTTATATATATACCACAAAAATATATACCACAAAAATTGACTACGTCCTGACATCAAATGACGTCATGTCAAATGACGTCATCACGTTTTGCGTCATCGATGACGTCATAAAATTTTGACTAACGTGCGAAAAATCCTAGATCCGCCCCTGGTATTAAGAGCGTGTGTCTCTAAAAACCGCCCACTGACTTGGGGCTCGAAAAATAAATTTCTTCGAAACTTTTACCGTGAACTACATTTACTTTAACAACAAACAAATGCTGTTTGGAATTTTGAAAATATTTTTAGTTTCAAAGTTTTAGCGATTTTTTGGTCTCGCACCGTCGCGGGAGAAATTCGCCGGCTAATTAAACGAAAAAATGGGCTGAATTTAAATAAACATAATTTCAAAACTTTTTGTTCAAAATTTCTGATATTCACACCCTGCACCGGAAAACTATCGTAATTTCATCTAAAATAACTTAGCTTTTCAATTACAGAGCATTTGTGACAATATTTAGCGACAAAGAGCGCCATGTCAAATTACGGCTTTCAAATTCTAATATTTTCTACGCAGAATTTCTTAAAAGTGGGACCTAATTACATACAGTGACTAGTATAGTTGGAAAAAAGACACTTTGAACTACTAAAAACCGTAATAAAACTCGTCTGCAAACGCAATTTTAACAAATGAGAGCGTTTGAAATTTGATACTATTTATGGCCTTTTGTTTACATTAGAATGTTGCTGAGGTCAGACGTCTGAGTTCATGTCACTGCGAAAAATGCGCTGTAGTTCTGCCAAATAACATTTTCTTATTGCTCTTCTCTCAAAACAAATCGATAATGTCATAGTACTAAATTTGATTTCGTTGTTTATCTTACAAGATATTTAAATAGATGATATTAAACATATAAAATTGAATCACGGTAAACACTTGCAAAAAATGTCGCCCTTGGAAAGCCCAACAAAAGCTTTTGTTTTGTATTAAACAATATTACCTTTCCGTTAATTACGTCACAACTGCATGGAAGTGAGGCTGAGGGGCCAAAGCGTATGCCAACACGATGCCAATAAGCGTTTGCTTTGGCCCCTCAGCCTCACTTCCATGCAGTTGTGACGTAATTAACGGAAAGGTCTATTTCGATTATTATGTACTGTAAAACCAGTCAATGCCATGCAAACATTGAAACACAAGTATACTTTTAGCATCCCATCATACACTGAAATTGGCACTTAGCGCATTTTAGTTTAGGTGTTTTTTCTTTTTAAATGTAGCACTGAGTAAAGGCGAGGTTAAATCACTTAAATGAGACATTTTTTTGCAATGCATTTTTAGAGTAGGTGCATGTTAAGTCGGACGCACAGAAGGACACTATTATTTAACAAATACCTGACGTTTTCCTGTCATTTTCAGCGATTTTTCGTAGTTGATAGTAGTCGGATAAGATCAGATTGTCTTGATCCGCTATTTTGCCCGAGTTTTACCGCAAACGTTGCAGTCGGCCCTCTACAACATCACGTGCACTCGGCTTTACAAAGCACTACTTGCAAAAACTAGTCAAATTTGCGTGATATTGAGATTGCCGGATGATAACACCAACTTCGTAGATAGGTTCCAGAACTAAGCTTCGCACATTTATAGACTTTTCGAACTAAGCAATAGTTTAGTATGCTGCAACGCAAACTCTAAATATACTTTTAACATGCCTATTATTTTAAATCCCTTGGAACCACTTACGGTGGACATAAACAAAGAAGTATAGATTAGTACAATAGTGCTATAAATTAACTTATTTGAGGAAAGGTTATTTGACAGAACTACAGCGCATTTTTAGCAGTGACATGAGCTCAGACGTCTGACCTCGCAACATTCTAATGTAAACAAAAGGCCATAAATAGTATCAAATTTCAAACGCTCTCAATTGTTCAAATCGCGTTTGCAGACGAGTTTTATTACGGTTTTTAGTAGTTCAAAGTGTCCTTTTTCCAACTATACTAGTCACTGTATGTAATTAGGTCCCACTTTTAAGAAATTCAGCGTAGAAAATAGTAGAATTTGAAAACCGTATTTTGGCATGGCGCTCTTTGTCGCTAAATATTGTCACAAATGTTCTGTAATTGAAAACCTAAGTTAGTTTATATGAAATTACGATAGTGTTCCGGTGCTGGGTGTGAATATCAGAAATTTTGAACAAAAAACTTTTGAAATTATGTTATTTAAATTTAGCCCATTTTTTCGTTTAATTAGCCGGCGAATTTCTCCCGCGACGGTGCGAGACCAAAAAATCGCTAAAACGTCGAAACTAAATATATTTTCAAAATTGCAAACAGCATTTGTTTGTTGTTAAAGTAAATGTAGTTCACGGTAAAAGTTTCGAAGAAATTTATTTTTCGAGTCCCAAGTCAGTGGGCGGTTTTTAGAGACACACGCTCTTAATTGTTGATTGTTTCTCATTTTCAATGAAAAATTGTTTGTAAATTATAAATTGATTATAGCACGTATAGTTCACTCGGTCTTTTCCACCATGGCATACTTCCCTTCAAGCATTAACTATGCTTCAAGATATCGGTTTGAATGCGCAATGAATGTTGTTATAGGAAATATAATATCCCTTACAATAAGCGGCAGACTGTTTCATTTATATGGCGCGTGAAATTCGTCACGCGAAAAACGCGTTCGACTTGCAGCAGGATAATTTGACGAAATTTTGCTATTTTTATTAGCTAAAAACATTAGCAAGGGAACAAAGTTTCCTGCGTTAATTTGGAAATCGTACATTTATTTGTAGATAACATTTAATGACGCGATTAACATTCGTTTGATGCCGATCGTCGTAATATAGCCGCATAAAATAATGATACGAAGCCTAAATGTAAACTTTCCAGATTCATTCAATAAACAGTGATATTATGTGCGAATGATTATCGCAATTCTGCGTCCTCTAAGTCACGAATTATACTGCTGCAGAGCCTCTGAATAAGACGTATAATTTGTTGTGTTGTTTTTCGAAATATACATCACGTGATCGTTGCCATGACAACGAAAAGTAGGTCAACTTTTAGAATTTCCTTTGATAAATCATACAAAACTTGAATGGTAATAATCAAGGCCATACTTATTTTTTTTATGATTTTTTGTCTATTTTCGCTAAATACACAAACTGAGACCCAAGCATTTAATGTACCTGAGTGGGCTTTGTAATCATTTATTTAAACCAGAGTAGCGAGCGAAACATGATTGATATACCTGGTTGCAGTGAACGAACAAACTTTATAATTTACATATTGTTATGAGAGTGTGTGCACGGCCCTTTAAAAACCAGTGTTGTATGTATATGTTTAATTTAACTGAGTAAGCTACCGTGTATAAAGAATTTTATTAAGCTATTAAACTATAGAATACACTTAAAATTTGTCATGTAGTTTTCCATGATACTATTTAGTATTCAGTATACCGAAAGTTAAAGTACCCACTAAGTCAAGAAGATATTTGCTGAACAACTATCCGGCGAATACAATGTGTTTGGACGTTTTCTTTTAAAATATTTGAATGAATAAATCTTTTTTATAGAAAGCGCGTGGTGTCAACGCATGACACGTGATTGTAAGATTATTTTAACAATTATTAAATTCGGTTGTCGCATGATATTTAGAAGAAGAAATGATCTTATTAATATTAATCTTTTTAATACTAACTATAATATTAGTAATATTAGAAATATTATTATGTTTATTTATTTTTAAAATTATTTTCCGTAATTTAAAATTTTAATCTGCTAGTCCGCGACTCCGCGTCCGCGCCGATTCGCGTACTTGGACATGGTACGGTGTGATAGATCGTGATTAAATTGTGAGCTGCTGAACAACGTGTATGGTAAATAGTCTGTGGTCAAGTGGCTTCTAGTTAGGTTCCTAATTTCTAATTTGATGTCTGGGAGAGTGATTGTGATTAGATTAAGAACCGCACAACAGGTATGAATCTTATGGATGGGAACATTTTATCCCAGAACTAAGGTCACAAGGTGTGCCAGAATGTGGGGTAGGGATAAAGGGCGGATGCGGATACGGATGCGGATGGCGGATACGGATGCGGATGAGAAAATACGGATGAGAAAATGCGGATGGGGGATAAAACGCGGATGGGAAAATGCGGATGGGGGATAAAACGCGGATGGGAAAATGCGGATGGGGGATAAAACGCGGATGGGAAAATGCGGATGGGGGATAAAACGCGGATGGGAAAAGGCGGATGGGGGATAAAACGCGGATGGGAAAATGCGGATGGGGGATAAAACGCGGATGGGAAAATAATAATAAAATAATAATAATAAATTATAATTTAATAATTTCTATTATACTGACAATTATTTGCGAAATTAAAGAGGCAATGTCACCCATATTTGACTAAAAATGCATTTTATTTACAGTGTGAACTGTAATTCTGAAAATAAACATCGTAAATGGATTTATGTATGACATAAGAGTAATACGCTTTTTGTGTTTGTTATTGCTTTATTTTGTAATTACAGCCATTCTTTCTCAGTTTTGTACAAGTTTTGAGAGAGTCAGAATTCCTCAAAAATCGGTGACATTGCCCCTTTAAGTCGGTTGTAATAACAATTTAAGGATTTTTTCAAGTACTAGTAGTGCAGTATCAATTCAACTAGGATTGCCACTTCTTTTGTATGAATTCTACCTACAATTATTTCCAAACCCCAAATATATTCAAGCGCTTTTATGCGCCAAATGTCGATCAAATAATTCTCACCAGACCTATAAATTTACCACATCTCAGGACTTACGCATGCAACAATAATAGGCATATGGTAAAACGCGGACTGGACTGGACTGGTAAAACGCGGACTGGACTCAGATTAGTAAAACGCGGACTGGACTCAGATTAGTAAAACGCGGACTGGACTCAGATTAGTAAAACGCGGACTGGACTCAGATTAGTAAAACGCGGACTGGACTCAGATTAGTAAAACGCGGACTGGACTCAGATTAGTAAAACCATAGAGGTAAAACGCGGACTGGACTCACTGATCTATTAATAGTAGACTGGATATAACTTCTGTGACACAAATTACTATAGAAATGTGAACAGTATGGCGAACAACGTGAACTAAGGTGAATTTTGCCAAATGTGAGATACTTTGCGAAGTTTTACCAAGTTGGTCGCTCCACAGTGGATAAAAGATGTTATGTTAATGCTGTTAAAACGAAAATTATCCAGATTGCCTTAAAATATCGTCAGTTTGGTTCGTTCAAAGTTGCCATGCGGGAATAATATTTTATCGCCACAGTGGCATGACAACACGATAATTTCTAGTTTACTCAAGCATACTGTTAAGGTAAAGTAAGTAGTTCGTTTTATCAATTATGTTTAACCTTGATCAACCAGAGGGTTTCAAACTTTCAATTATCCATCTTTAATACTAAGCCTTTTTACAAAATATATATACATGTCTTTGTTGTTACTAAATATATTTGTACTTTTTAAATTTGTCATTTTGTTAAACTGGAAGGCAACCTTAATAAAGCTTTCTGTAGAGTGAATCCACTTTTATATTGCATTTGAATTTTGAACTTTCAGTTGTAGAGTGTAATCAGTGACAGTGTATATTGTTTTAGTGCAGTGACTCCAAAGGCATGCAGAGTGTAAAGTTCATTATTAATTTTGATCATTCATTTATATCTAAACATTTGTTATTGTAAAATATCTGTAGGTGCTTTTCCACCAAATTCCCAGCATATATATTTGCTTGTTGGTTTATATATGCCCCAGGGGTATTCAAAAAAGAAACACTGGTTGCAACAATGTTGTGTTTTGCAGGGCCAGATTAATTAACATTTCGCGGGGCCTGTCCACCTGTGGCATTTTATCAGTGCGGGGACCCAAGACAGCGCCCCCCCTGCATTTTAAACACTGAATTCAGAAAGATTCAAAAACATAAACATATCCTTTTGTATTGTACGTGTTGAGAAGTTGCTTGAAATTTGTGTATTTACAAAAAAAGGAAGTATACATCAATAATTTGTACTAAAATTAAGTGACACAATGGGTATCAACAATAATATCATATGACAAGTAATACCTAAAAGT